TTCTTATTTGTTTTCGAATATGTTTAACATACCACATCTGCCATTGTCGTAGTATGATTGATCAGGTATACATTGACATTCTCCTGCTTTACAAAATTTTGTATTGGTACCATATAATCTCTTACAGTCATCGTCAAATCCTCCATTGCTAATACATCCCGAGTCAATGTCTCTAGAAGCTAACGTAAGTTCTAAATAAGATAAAGAAATATTTAAAAAAAAATAAATATGAATTTTTATTAAATATATATATATATATACCACATCGTTTCTTATCGCTGGACACCGTATATTTACCAATTGGTAAACATCGACATTGTCCATTATCAAGGGTTGCCCCTGGTGGACAATTTTTATCGTTCGGATTCGTCAAATCTCTTTCCAAGAAATAGTCTTGACAAAGAAAAGAATTATTTGTTGTTGTTTTTTTTCGTTTTAATTTTATCATGTTTAAATACTTACAACAAGTATTATTATTTTCATCTAAATATTTATTATGATCACATGAACACACATATTTATCTTGTCGTGGTTGACAAGTTAATGGCCAAGGACATAAACCATTTTCTGGTATATGTTGACCATTTGAATCTATACGTGTACATACACCATACTCAAAATTATCATTTTCCCATATTGGTATAATACGTTCTAGAATTAATATATATATATATATATTGAATAATTAATTTATGAAAATTAATCTTACGACAAGGTGATCTTGCATCAACAAATTTATAGCCAGGTTTGCATATACATAAACCATTCTGTACAATTTTTGTATCATTATCATAACTTGAACAATTAAGAGTATATTGATGTTGATTTATATCGTATTCGTTTGGAAAAACAAAATTCAAATGATATCTTTCTAGAAAACAAAGCACAAAGTTTTACAAAAAAAGTCTTTTTTTTTTTTTTTTTAAATTATATTTTACATACCACATCTATCATTCGTATTAATAAGACCAGCTTGACACCAACATGTTGTTTGATTACCAACATGAACACATACAGCAAGTTCATCTCTACATGTACCACAATCATCATTTGGCAATGATGTAGTTGAAGGTGATAATGATCCACTATATTGTTTTAATTCTTAAAAAATAATATAATTTGTATCTTTTGAAAATTTATACATTTATTTTTTTCTACTTACGACATTCTTGATTTTGATAATTAGCAGTATAATTTAATGGACATTGACAAAATTTTTCCACATGTTGACCATCATTTTGACAAATTGCATGAATATCAATACAAGGATTGTCATTTGATTCATAACAAAGATCATTTGATGCATTAGCTTCAGCCCAATTCGAATAGATTCTAGCAAGTTTTCTTTCTAGAGAAATAAATTTTTTCTTAATCAAATATTTAATCAAACAAAAAAAAACATACGACATCGATTATTATCTCCTCTTGGTACAAAGCCAAGACGACATTTACATAATCCATCACGACAATCTCGAGACCAACATTCACTTGGAGTTGAACATGATGTATTTAAACTTTTATCTACATAGAAAATAAATTAAATATTGAAGATATCAGATTATATTTATTGATTTGATAGATACTATTTTATATACTTCTAACAAATAATAATGAAGAAAATATTTTCTTTTTTCTAGAAATCTAAATCTCTTTTCTGTTTCATACAGACTATACTAAATTATTGTATACTTACAACATAGTCCATTTAAAGCTGTATAACTTGATTGACATCGACATCGTTTTTCAACGTCAGCACATACAGCATTAGGAATACAATTGTCATTAATTCGACACTCTTCTCCTTCGTAGACAAATACGGCTTTTATATCTTTGATATTCCATGAATACAATAGAATTATTATTTATGATTGTATTCAAAATAATTAAATACTTACCACATTTTGTACCACATGGTGTATACCAAGGTGTATCACATTGACATCTTCCATTACGACAAATCGGACCAATATCAGTACATTCATTAGTATTCGTACAGATACCATCCAAAGAAACTTGATTTTTTTAAAATTGATAGTAAAATAAAATTTGAATTAATTAAACTTACCGGTCTTAGTTAATGAGATACAAATAAGTAAAATATTACCAAACAGACATAGATAATCTAAGGACAACATTGCTTATGATTGTCGAAGAAAAATAGAAAATAATAAGATTTCAATCTGAAGAAAAATAAAATCAATACATCTTAATCCAGTTTATATGTACTTTCATACAAAAGAAATATAAATGAAGTTAAACTTCTTTACTTCTACTTTTTATATTGCTTTAACTTTTTTTTTCTCTCTCTCTCTCTACGAGATTAAAATTAGTCAACTACGTGCTACAAAATATATTCGTTCTACGGAAGAATATCATATTACTTTTGTTAAAATCAAAATTTGTCGTTAACTACCAAAATGGTTTCAAGCAAAAAGAGACAATCGTGTCACTAACAAAAAATATGAGAACAACACACTCATATATGTAAATACCTACTTGTTATTCGCCTACATAGAAACATATCAAATGTTACGTATGTGAACATAAATAACTCATCATCTCGAAACGAGGAAATCTTCATACGTCAGTGAAATAAAGCAACAAACTTATTCATAATCCGTTGTTTGCTATTGATAACATAGTATGAATAAAACAAAAACAAAAAAAAAAGATTTTTTTCATATCTGCAAAAATAAAATAAAAAATTCTATCTTCTGTTTCAGTCTCATTATATAAAAACACGTCTTCATTCGTGTGATAAACATAGAAAACATATTAAAATTTAATCAATTTTTAGTAATAGCTGCATCTGTTTAATGATTAGTTTTTCCAAATATAGAAAAAAAAAATTGCTTTAATTCAAAAGAAAATGATTTCCTTTTTGTTTTTTCTTCAACTATAATATTTCTCATATGTAAATATTAGTTATGTATAGTATTTTGTAATTTTAGCCGAAGTGGATGTGAATATTTATGCTGTTGTTATCAATAATGATATGAAGGTCGAGAAAGATATTCTTATGTAAGAAAAATGATTTTCATTTTTTTTCATAAACATAAAACAAAAAAGAAGTTAGAATTTAATTATACGGACAAAATTTTTATTGTTGAAATAAGAATAGAACCCAAAAAAAATATATAAATATCTGCAAAATAATATAATCAATTGTTCGATTATTTTTTTATTTATCATTACATGTAAATAGCAATAAAATTTGATGAAGTATATTTTAGTTGATATATTTTATGTCATTGACATTTTTTTTTTCAATTAGAAGAGATTTATCAATAAAATAAATATCAAAAATAATTTATCTATCATAAATAATCGATAAAAAATTTGTATCATTTCAATAAATATATTCTCAATTATGATTTAATCTAAATCGAATTTTGAATATGTAAAAAATGTCTTTGGAAATATGATATCTTTTCTAATTTAAATCAAATGATTGAATATCATAAATAAATCTAGAGAAACAATATGATTATTGAGCAAATGATCGAACAAAAGAAAAAAAAAATTATTTGTGCATTTAATTGTTAGTATTGAAATCCGTATATTTACCTTATCTCTCTTTCTCGAGTTTCTAGAGAACGGCATAACAGAAAATTATGAAACTTTCAAGGCAGATAGATCTTAATAGATAGAGAAAAAATTCTCAAAAAGATTATTAAAATCAACAATGATCAGAAGATCTCTTTCTCCTTCCCCTAAAACTCTATACTTTATTTTTTCGAATTACAATTCTTTTTATGACAAATCAGAGTACGCATTTTTTTTTCGTTCAATGGCACTAATTTTTTAAAGGCCACCGAATTTCGTAGAAAGAAAATTTTGAAAAAGAAACACGCACTCTAATTTAAGTAAAGTATTTATAAAAGAAAACTCAAGCCCAATCGGACGTAGCGAGCGAGAGAAAAGCCAGTAAAACTTCTTTTTTGTTTTTGTTCAAAAATCGATTTTGAGAAAAAGAAATTATCATTAAGAGAATTTGGCCTAGAAAGAATATTGATCTACATGGCATTTGACAGAGGACACTTCGAAGCTATATTAGTCTCCTTTTTTTCTTAAAACAAAATCTTGATTTCAAGCTGGACATAAGGTATGATAGCTTCAAGTGCGGTGTGCAATTACAGATATCATTCGACTTTAAACAGCTTAGGATGTGGTAGAATTATTGAATCAAGGAAATTCTTTTCTTTTACTTAGCGTAACACAAAATATCAGTTATCTTATCTCAATCCTGTCTGCTTACGATCTCCCTCTAACTTCGTTTGATTGGGCTGAAATTTTGATCACAGATACTTGAAAGTTTCATTTTTAACTTTCCTATTCGGATTTATAGAGTTCTGAAAGCGAACACCTCGGTTTTGGCTTTGAACCTTTTCATATTTCTTTCACAAAAAAAGAAAGAAAGCGAGATTTTAGGAAAATCTGAAAAATTACCTCTGAGATATCTCAAAAAAACAAAAATTTTCAGTCTAATCGAATAAATTCTGATGCGATCCTGTGGAAAGCCAAAATTTCCCAGAAAAAATTGACTTCAAAATTTTATTTTTCCTCAAACCCGTATCTCCTTACTGTTGATGTTTTATCTGTGGCAAAAATTTTAGCTTGATTGATTGTAAAAGAGAGAAGCAGTATCTTTAAGATTTTTTAGTAGAATATTATCTTTTGAAATAATTTTTCATTTTTCATTGATTTTGTATTATTATGAATTTATTTTAGAGATAAATTAAAGATCATACAAAAAAAAAACAAAATAGTTATGCACAAGTGCGCTCTCTTTCGAAAGTGTTTCTTGATTGGTTTTCATATATTTCTCCAATGGAATCCTGTTGATTTCAAGAAGAAATGTCAATCACATTAAGTGTTCTGCACATAAAATTCAGTTCGTAAGATGTCTTACAAGGTCTCTTTCTTTCCGGTGATCAAAATGTGTTTTGAATAAACATTTATTTTATTATACCAGTTTTAATATATATATAATCAAACACATGAGTGTTCCAGTAAGATAAGAATTTCTTGCTCAATATATCTTAACTACAGATAACGCTTCTTCTTCTTTATGCTTGGTTGATAACTAATTTATCTCTTTATATGAAATAATATTTTATAATGAACAATTACTAACAGCGGAAACATCAGAGAAAAGAAGAAAAAAAAAGAGTACATGTTGTGTATGTGTGTCTATGTACATTAAATTCATAGTATGCGATGTTCTTTCTTTCTGTTAATGTTCATGCCAACGGGAAAGAGAACAGAAGTATATATGTATTGATCGTTGGTCACCTTTCTTCTTTTACACTAAAGAATAGATTAATGTGTTTGGATGTGAAGAATATAGAAACGTCTTTTTCTACGTAATCGATTCGATTTTTGTTGTTGTTGTAGGTTGCACCTGAACGTAAATCATTATTACCTTTACGGTTACCAGCACCTTGTGTAGTTGCTCCTCGTCCTACAATACCGATGCCATCAGTTTGTGAAAATAATCCGTTAGTTAATATTTTACATGTACATATATATATATAAATTATTCATTTTCTAGTAAATCATCATTAACTGTTGGCAATCGTGTTTTAGTAAATGGACTTAAAAGTGGTATTCTTCGTTATATAGGTACAGTAAAATTTGCAGATGGACAATTTTGTGGTGTTGAACTTGATCAACCAGATGGAAAACATGATGGACAAATAAAAGATGTTCGGTATACAAAAAACAAAAAAAAAATTATAAGTATTTATTTTATTTTATTTTATTTTTTGTAAAGATATTTTCAATGTCCACCAAATCATGGAATATTTGTACCTTGTGATAAAGTTGTTTTAGCACCTCGATTACGAACATCAGTAAGTTGTTTGTTTTTTTTTGTCTATTATAAAAGAAAAATAATGATCTGATTAAATCAAAAAAAAAAAAAAAATTTTCTTTTTTTTAGTTATCACAAAGACCAATAAGCCGTTTGAAGCCTCCAACAATGACACGTTCAATGACACATTCATCAGAAATTAATAAAATTGAACAATCGAAATCTGTTGAATTACCTGATCTTTTAGCAAATACAACTTCTCAACCGGTGATACTCAATAATTCAATTGTCAATGATCATCATGTGAATATTTTAAGCAAAAAAAAAATATATATTTAATAGAATTTTTTTGCATAAATTAATTTAAAAAAAAACTCTAGGAAATTATCATACCAATCGAACAACCACAAGAACAGACGATCGATGTTATTGAATCTAAACTTGAATTTCAACCACTAACAACCGATGAACGTATGTTTTAATATTTATTAATTTTTTTTTATTTCGTGAAACACGATCTAAAAAAAGTATGTTGAAGCATAGGGATAGAAATTTCAACTTCCTATAGACCGTGATAGATGATCAAAGACAGTATGTCATTCGCGTCTGATTATAATATATGAACTACTCCCTCATTGCATTTCGGGAAGATACATAAAACGATGGTAAAGAAATGTGTCACAAAATAGATAGCATAAAACAATCTCCCTGTGGTTAATAACAGCAGCTACATCGTGTTTCACATATTAATTCCATAGGGATTGTACTAACAGCTTTTTTTTTTTAATGTAGCTTCAGAAACAATAGAAGCTGATTTTACTGATAGTGTATCATTAATATTACATCAACTACAACAAGAAAAACCTATTGAAACACGTTCTTCTTCAATAATAATTAGTGAAGAAGATACTGAAGATGATGATGATGATGAATTAGATAATGAAAGTATTATTGAATCTACAATTAATGAAAAAATAGATACAACTTGTCATTCATCATCACCATCATCTTCTATTTGTATTTCAATTGAATCAACAAAATTTGTTCAAACAGATTTATCATTTCATTTCAATGATAATATTTCATTTACAAAAAATGAATTAATAAAAAAACAAAAATCTATTTTAAATTTATCAACATCAATTAATAAATTAGAAATTAAGAAAAAAGATGAACAAACAATTATTAATAAGAAAAAACCAATTATTCAATCAATTAAAAAAAGTAAACAGAGAAAAACACAAAAAAAAAAAATACAAATTTACATTTTGTAAGATGTCGAACAACGATCCATTCCACCATTATCTAATACAACAAAACGACCAATTATTTCTACAATACCTCGAAAGTCATCAATCATACTACCAAAAAAAGGACCACCATCTAAAATTCCACTCAATGCTGCACAATCGGTGACTTCACTATCATCATCACAATCGAGTCAAAAATTTTTTTTTTATTAAAAAATCTTTTTCTTTTTATTATACAATTTTATATTATATATTTAGAACATAGTCTATCACTTTCATCATGTAATTCATTGAACAGTAGTCAGTCAGATTTAGGATCGATAAATAAAAATTCAAATATAAAAAAAACATCAGATACAAATCAAAATATTTTTCAATCAAGTGGCATTCCTTCAATTAATTTAGGTAAGTATATTTTTAATTTGATTTCAAAAAAACAAAAAAAATTGTTTTTTTGTTTTTTATTCGATGTAGAAAAACAAATCGATCAATCTCGTGATCAGTTGAATACACTTAATCAACAAATGGCAATGTAAATTTAGAATTTAAAATTCTTTTTTTTATAAAATATTTTATTTAGTCAAAAAAGTCTTAATCAATCTCTTGAAATTACTAATCAACATTTAAAAAAATACTATCAACATCTACTCAATCAATTTGATCTTATGCATATTTTAAGTCAATATTATATTAATGAAGTAAGAAAATATTTTCAACAAAAAAATAATCTTCATTTATTTATTTTTCATTATAAGAATGAACAAATTAAAGAACAACATGAAATTCAACTATCGAAAGGTATATTTCAATTTTTTTTTTTTTTTTTCTTTCGTATAAGAAATTCTTGCCAAAGTATAAATCAATGTTTTGAAATGAAATTTTAACTCATCAGATAAACTCTATTGAGATTAGAGAAAGCCAAAAAAAACTAGCAAAGCGAGTTTTAGCCTTTGTTGATCAACTTGTTTTTCTTTTCTCACTCAGCAGTACTATTTTTTGCTGCTGGTAATTTGAAATATTTCAAACAAATAGCCATACCATCAATGTGTTTGCATATATAATTCTTAGAAAAAAAGTTGAATAGTTGCATTTTGATGTTGTCAAATCTGAATTTTCATGCATCAAATATCAAAGGGTATGAGTGTGAGTCTTCAGTTTATTCACATCCGTCAGTACATCATAGTAGAAGGAAAGAAAAAACAGAAGTGAATCACACTATAACAAATTTAAATTACTGTTTTTTTTTAAATATATTAACAAGCCTAATTATTTTAATAACTGTTCATTTAAATTGCAGCTTTTTAAATTCTTATTATAAAAGTACCACATTTCCTAATATCATCTTATCATGAAATAACAGACGGTATGCAAAAGTTTTGCATTAATTTTATTTTTAGTATAATGCAACAACAACTCGTGATGGAAGCTCGTCAGTTTTTTTTTTGTTAGAAAAAGCAAAGCTATGTAAAAATATTTATCGAAGGCTGAAAAATTTTTCTGGGCGCTTTCGGAATTTAGAAGAAAATCTGCATCTATTAAAAAAAACAAAGTTCATCTTATTTTTCGGATTTTTATAGTACTACGATAGGGTATTGATATTTTTTTCCTAAAACTTGGATGATCCCTCTACAAAAGCACACTATAAAAAAAGAACTTCATTGAATGTTGCAGACGGAAAATCAAATTTTTAATAAAATTATTGCCTATGGAATCTGTGATTTTGTAACTCACATATTTTGATATTATTAGAAAACATGTATTGCATTGATTACAGTCACACTTAACATACGTAAAAATTTCGAAAGTTAAGTGCAAGACAAATTCGATCAAATGCACTTTTTATAATTGATTTTTGTGTGAAGTTGAAAGGCACTTTTCACTCTCTTCGGTAAGCATTTTGTTTTTTGCTACTATAATTAAAATAAAATGAATACAAAATTTTTGTATCATTATTGAGATACTATTCGATCATGAGTGTGAATTTGATAATCAATATTTGAAAGTGTTCTAAAGAAGACTTATGAATATGAATCTTTTCTTTTTTTGACTTTCTCTAGTTTCAATAGAGTTTATTCAATGAGAAGTGATTCATTTCAAAAGTAATTTTTGTTACTTAATAAAATTCTTTTGTTAGTGTTTCTTTTTTGAATGATTATATAATGAATATTTTCTTATTATTAGCTCGAACAACAAAAGATCAATTAGAAGTAAATAAAAATATTTCTATAATAATAAAAATAAAAATAAAAATAAAAACAATATGATTGATTTATCTTATAGATATCCATTGAACATTTACAAACATATCATAAAAATGAATTATCTGTATTAGATAAACGTTATCATAGTCAAATTGAAACATTAAATAAAACACATGAACAAAAATTAAATGAATATAAACAAAAAATGAATCATTTATTAGTAAATATTGTTTAAAATTTCATTTTTACATACGGTGTTTTTTTTTCTTCAAAAAACATATCTTTTTAGCATGAAAAAAATGAATTAGAATCTTGTTGTTCATTATTACAAGAAAAAGTTGATAGTTTTTTAACTGAAATGGCTAATAGTGAACATGCCGATGTTTTATTATGTCATGTTGAAACATTAGAAAAAGATCGAACAAGTTTACAAACTGTACTTGAACTTAAAACTAAAGAAATTACACAATTACGAACGAAACTTAATGAACAAGAAATTCGAGTATGAAAATCAAGAATTTATTTAAAACGTAAGTTTTTTTTGTCTATTCATTTTAGCTTCATGATGAACAAGCATTAAGAAAACGTGTTGATATGGTTGAAAATAAAAATCAAAATCTTGAATATCTTCTTCAACATAAAAAATTAAGTGAAAAGTAAATAAATATATATTTTTTTTCTTCTTATTTACTAAATTTTTGATTTATTCAATTATTGAAAATCTAATTATAATTCATATAAAATTAAATATTATTTTAACACTTATGAATTCTTCTTTCTTTAAAGTTCATCTTCAATCTACACATCAGAATATTTATTTATGTGTATTTTCCTAAGTACATATTGCTTCTATAGTTTTTTTTTTACATATATAAATTATCATTAAGCTTTTGATTATCCATTTATTTATCACTGAAATTCAAAAAGTTCAAATTTGATTTTAAACTATTACTTATAGATGAATATTCTTTTCACCATCTATAAGAATAAATATCTAATTTGCAAGCTGATATTGAATCATTGCTTTTTTTATTGATTTATTATATTTTTTTTTTAGATCTGCTATAGCTGAACGAAATGAATTAAAAGAACAAGTAATTCAACTTGAACGAGATAATTGTCAATTAAAATTTGAAAATGAAACATTACGTTATCGTCTTCATGAACGATCATTATCGATTTCCATACCATTAAATAATCAAATTATATTTCCAAATAAATCAATAACTATTCCTATACAAAAATTACAAGGTCGAAATCGTGCATGTAGTTTATCATCAATTATAATTATTGCACATAAGAATGAATGCATTACTCGTTCGTTATCATCATTGAACTGTATTTCTTAATCGGTGATTATTTTTTTTCTTCTTTTTGTTTGCTTTTTGAGAATGTTTGCATGTTTGCGTAGTTTGTTTTTATTTTATTAATATTAATTTGACAATATTAGAAAATGTTCTGACACAAATTTATGTATTTGCGTGATATATATATATATATATATGTGGTATTCACTGCTTTTGTATTTTTATCATATTTATTTGTTGTAGCATGTGTTTATTAATGAGGAATATTTAATTATTTTGATAAAAATATATACAGGGCGTGACAAATGTTAAATAACTTTTTTTTTTTTTTTGAAAATATTCGAATGAAGAAATACAATACGTTATCGTGATTTTTCTGTTAGATGATACAAAATTTAAATCTCTATAAAAATCTTATTAAGTTTAATTTAAAACAATGGAACTATCAAGTTTAAAAGGCTTTCGTTCCAGTTTATTAGATTTTTAACCTTTTCTTAGGTACTTCCTGGAAGATCAAATGATGGTTTTCATCTAAAATTCTGTCTAGAGATAGGTCTAATGATTCTTAGAATATCTTGAAAGTTTCAGTCGAAAACAATGCTACGACACAACGACTATTTTTGGGAATTCAACCTCTTGGCGAAGAATATATTTTTCGGCTGAAACTTTCGAGATATTCTAAGAGTCATTAGACCTATCGATAGGCCAAATTTCAGATCAGAATTCTGTTATTTGATTTTTAGAGACTGCCTACAAATGCATAAAAAAATTCATTAAACCAATCATAACTCGACAACAAAGGTCCATTGAGACGAATCCTTTTTGGGCTTTTGCTAGTCTAACTAAGACCTATCTGTGATTTCAATTTGAGCTCAAATGGCACATGTCATTTAGGGTAATTTCCTATAAGCAAGTTTTTGTACATTGTATCAAGTGATTCAGTGAATGACATCTATTTCATACACAATTTATCGATTTGTCAAGGAATATTTAGTTTTTAAAATAAAATCCATTAACAGACAACCTTGAAAATGTCCTTTCGATCACGCATAATATGATATTTGCTAATACAGATTCTTCTAAGTAGTCAACATGCTGTGTTGAGAACACAAGAACATGAATCACTTAAGGCAATCTGTAAGAAAAATTGTCTTTGCTTCAATTTTTTTAATATTTAATCTAATACGAGTTTTATAGAGAATTAAATTCTGCATCTTCTGAAAGAAAAACTAACATCATATATTATTTCTTCATGCAAATATTTGCAAAGAAAACAATGTTACAAAACTTTGAGCACGTTCACATTCATTAATAAAAAAAAAAAGGAATGAAATTTTCATGCATGATTAATATTTTAATATACTTTATTCTTATCGGTAAATTTTGAATGTTCAATAATCAAAAATATTCAAACAAACTTCAAGATAAAAAAACAACATCGTTTCATTTATCAAATGTTTATTAACAATCATTATTGTTGAATTCTTTTATGAAAAGAGAAGAAATCTACATCCACACTCACACTCTATAGAGTATTGCTCACATCAGTACTTTTTTCATATTGTGCATACAGTATTGATAAGTTTATAATAGTTTGATCATTGATTTAAAAGAAAGAATTGTTCCATCACAGGGCGTGAAAACCGACAAATCTCGTGGTGCTCCGTCACCACGACTTGTCCATCTCTGATATAGACAACTCATAATGTTACAAAATCTTTATCCAAAGTTTTTCTGAACATATCTAAATTTTTCAAAAAAATCGATTTATTTTTCGTTAGCGACGTCACAGAGTGCAAATATACCAACGAAAAAAAAAAAACAAACTCTTATGATCAAATAAGAATAGCAATTAATACTCTGATCAAAATGCCTCGTATTAGTACAAAACATTTGATTTTGTATAGACTTTACTAATATTCTTCAAAGTCAATTAAATAGACTAAAATCAAATTATGGCTAAGAATAATCGAGATGGTGGTAGATTATTTTTTTCAATTGATTTTAATCGGATTATCCTGCAAAATGTAAAAGGAGTCTCATAGGAAAAATGAGATTTGTTAATGAGTAATAAAAAACTAATTCTCATTTTCTTATGTATATTTTTTACTGGGAACAAAGTTAAAATTGAGAGCTTTTATGATTGTCGTTAATTTAGTTGCCTTTTCAATTTTAGAAGCAACTAATATCCATTTCAAAAAAAGAAGATGGGTGGATATTTTTTGAATGAATTGATCTAGAAAGCTGTGGTTTCCACCATTGGAAAGAGCAGATGAAAACGTATCAAATCATATATGAAAAGATTTTTCTAATTACTATCCTTAGAGTTTTAGTAAAATATTTTCAAAAAATTGCTTTTTTCTCATACGTTAAAAACAAAGCGATTTTTCATGAAAACACTACAAAAATTTCCATTTTTCGATTATTTTGTTGAAAAAAATGGGATGTTTCATTTGGCGGTTCGAGCACATTCATGAAAATCAATAAATTAATATCGTGATCATGAGAGGTATGCTGTTTTTCTAGAAGCTTTATATAAAACTCTTAGAAAAATAATTAGAAAAATTTTTTCATATATGATTTGATACGTTTTCATCTTCTCTTTTCAATAGTGAAAACCGTAGTTCTCTAGATCAATTCATTCAAAAAATACTCACCCGCCTTCTTTTTTGAAATGGACATTAATTGCTTCTAAAATTGAAAAGTCAACTAAATTTTATAGTTAACTCCGACATATATATTTTTCTACAAGAAAGACACTAATCACTTCAAAACCAGTCATTGCTATTAAAAAATAAAAGAACAGCAAATATGCTATGTACAACATTTATTTATTTATTTATTTTTTTGTTTTGTTCTTTTAATATTCTCATTTCATATTGCTTCATTCTAACTATGGCATTATTTTAAAAACATGTCTTCTTCCGACTCAATTTAAACAGTCAATATTTAATTTCAACCGTTCTCAATTCAACTAAAAGAACAATTTAATGATATTCTCGTTTCTTATTCACATATATTCAATATTTACTTTTCTTGCTCAAAGAAAAAAAACCAATCACAATAAATAACTAGTCAAGAGATATTTAAATATTTGCGGATATGTTGGTAGTCTCTCAATTTATCAAATCGAAAAATACTTTTGTCCATACTAAAAAGTAGTCCGTTTAGTGAATTTTCTCTGTAGTATCTCACTTTTGCAGCAAAGCTATACTTTCGAATTTTAACTTGAAACTTTGCCTACATAAAGGCTTCAGCTAGACTAGCTTGCATAAAAAATTTCAGAAGTTTTGAACAAAGTCTTTCGGAGATACCGAACTATCAAGACACAGACCCTTTTTCATAGACACTATATATAGCATACATTTTTTGAAAACTTGGTATCTCGAAGAAACTTTGTTCAAAACTTCTGAAATTTTTTATGTAAGCTAGTCTAGCTGAGGCCTTTATGTAGGCAAAGTTTCAAGTCAGAATTCGAAAATATAGCTTTGCTGCAAAAGTGAGGTGCTACAGAGAAAATTCACTAAAAACTTGATATCTCGCCAGGAACATCCTATGGGCACGAACCATTTTAGGGTTTTCTTAGTCTCATTGAGTCCTACTAGTAGCCAAAATATGAGCTCGAACGGCGTCCGACAGTTGAATATGTTCCCTCGTTAGTCTAAATAAAATCAAATTGGTTAAAAAAATATCTACATAATTCTCTCCTTTAATGATTACTACCAATAAAACTCTGTTTGAACAATCTAATCTATAGATTCTGTTAGAAAATCATTCTCAATAGTGAGATATATTATGTAATTTTTTGTTAATCTAATTCGAATTGATTCGTACAATGAATAAATAACCAAATAAGTTCATGAAATTGTGTGTCAACAATATAGACGATAGAATGTTTTGAATCTAGAGTACACTTAAAATTTTTTTGTAAAATCTTCACCGATCTATAAAAAATAGGAGAATGAAAATGAACATTTTTTTGATGTTATTTACATCAGACACAGTTAGTATTTCTTGTTTCGAAATCACATTTTCCAGTATATAACACTAGTAAAGATCAGCAGGGTTCACAAAGACAATAAAATTTCAATGGAAATTCATACACTATACAAAAAAAATGTTAAGTAAACATGTACGGTTGGTCACTGAAGGCAAAGAAAAATTTTTGGTAACTGCTTTTAGTTGTTCTATGGCAAGTTTCTTCTATAGTACTTCTTCACTTATCATGAAGAAATGGTAGTTCAAGTCATAGTCAATATATAGTTCAACGTTTAGTTATATAAACTCATATTCTCCTCAAAAGCCTTTTCTAAGTCACTTTCAATATCCCAATTGTACTATTTGTAATGGAATACAATGAAGATTTTGAAGTTTATACAAGACTTTCGATGGACTTTACACAAATATATCAATAGCTCTATATCTCTCCTAGTGAAAACTCTAGCAATGTTGTAGAAGTTCAAATGAATTTTCCAGCAATTCAAATAATAAATTTAATTTCTATATTAAGGATCTCAAGCGCATACCTAAAAGGACACAGTTGGGTTACTTTTTACATTAGAATGAAACTTACTAGAGTCCGATCACGGATCTCATTATTCAACAAGCGTTTACATGCACTTATAGATGATTTATTTACATGAATAATAGTTGAGCATAACTGGTGGATATTATCACGACAGTTTACTAGTCTTTACTAGAGCATATATAAAACGTCGTGCCAGAGTTAATATACTTGTAAAGACTAAATGAATACTTTGTGTGTTATTGTTTTTAGACATACAACTGAAAATTAATGTTCGTTTAACTTTATATTTTAATACATATTACAGAACTCTGTAAATACTAATTTTTTAATAAAATAAAAAAGAATGAGATGATTAATTACTCAAGTGCATTTTATGCGTTCTAGTTTGGAATCTTTTTTTTAAAATGTTACAAAAATACAAATTTTATCGTTAAAACATTTTTCTCACGATGCAGTTAATCATTTAGTGGAAAGAATTTAGCTCATTGTTATTAAAATGGTATATCATTAAAAAAGAACTTATCAAGTTTTAATTTTTTTTCATTATCAATTCATTCGATGAGTCATTGTTTAATAATAAAAAAAACCAGTGACAATCTCATATGAAGTTTAGTCTTGCACTACTATCGATTATACTTTTGATTGCTCATCATTCAATTAATAGTACTGTTTGTCGACGGTGAGGTATCAACATATATATATATATATCGAATAAATAATCAGAAGATATGTTTATATAATGATAGGTCACCAATTCAATGTGGTTGTGCATTTTATCAACCAGTAATACGTACTCGTATTGTTGGTGGTATTGAACGTATACCACATTCATGGTAGATTATTTCAACGAAAATAATTCTCATATATGTATAGTGATATTATTTTAGGCCATGGATTGTTAGTATTCGATTAGCTTCCACAAATTCTCCTTTTTGTGGTGCGTATTTCAATCTATTAATTAGTTTTCTAATTCTTCTCATTTTTTAATGTTTATTTTTAGGTGGTTCACTTATTACTGATCGATATGTTCTTACAGCTGCTCATGTATTTCTATAATTCTATTCATGAGATGATAAATTTTATTTAGTCTATTTAGTGTTTTTATGATGAATTAAAAAAGACAGGTGGTAAAACAACTGCAGCAATTAGATCTAAATATATCTTTGTAATTGGTGCTCATTATTCAACAGAAAAAAATACATATTTAAATAGTCATTTACATGTATCAGCGAATTTAATTATTATAAATCCACAATATGATACAAATACCAAAATCAATGATATTGCTCTTATTGAATTAAATAGATCAGTTGATTTAACTGATAAAACAATTGGTTTTATATGTCTACCAATGCCTACATTACGTTATCCAAAATGATTTCCATCTGATCGAGCAGATGCTGTAATATTTTCATATGTATTACGTTTTGTTTCTTTGTTACAAATTTCTTTAGGTCGCTATTGGATGGGGACGTGTACGTGAAGGTTCTTTTGGTCGTGCTAGTAATGTACTTTTACAAGTTGAATTACCTATTCAATCATCTTATATTCGACCATCAGATTGCGCTGATCAAGTATATGATCCAGAAAAACAATTTTGTGCTGGTTCTACTCAAGGTGGAAAGGATACTTGTCAAGGCAATAGGTTTCTTTTCATATAAAACAGATTTTTCTCTTTTTGTATTAATCAATATTTTTCTAGTGGTGGACCATTAATGTTGACTTATAATTAAACATGGCAAATTGTTGGAATAACTAGTTATGGTGAAGGTTGTGCACGAGCTCGTAAACCGGGTAAGTTAAGTTTAACAAATCCTAAAGATGATTATAAGTTTATGACTACAAAGTGGAATATATGTGGACTTGTTGAGAAATACTTCCTTCATCTAATAATGTATGTAGTTCTGTAGTCAAAAAACTTATAATCACCTTTAATAAATTATTTTCAATCGTTTTTTTTTTAGGTGTGTATACTCGTGTAAGTGTTTATCGTGATTGGATCAATTATACAATAAGCAAAAATATATTGAATTATGAAACACAACTTTTTAATATACCAAATAATATTGATATGAGTAATAATCTAGAAATATGGTGGGATATAGAAGTTAATAGCAATGCTATATGTTATATAATACCGTTTACTAGTGTGTTACTTTTGTGTTTATTAGATTTATTTGTTTATAATTATTACTAACATAAGATAAATTTTAATTTTAAAATATAGAATATTAATTTGTTTGGTTGCATCAATAATCGAAAACATCAATGACTAAAGTATTCAACTAACATATTTAGGATAAAGAATTGTTTGTAATTTATAAGTCCATTGTGAGAACTGAACTCAATTGTTCTACTCAAACAGCGATGGTCCAATCAGGAGTATACCTCTCTCAGTTGATCATAGAAAGGTCAAAAATTCAGCTAATAAAACATTCTTTCTGTTTGGTTTAATATTAACATTATAACAGAGATCATGCTTGAGGGTGTGGATATGCGAAAGAAAACACCAACACCCACACCATCTTTTCAAAGTATCTGTCACTTTTCTTTATTGCGACGTCGTTATCAAGATTAATAGGACACAAATACGTTCTTTTCTTTGAAGTTGAATTCATTGCTCTTTTTAAGAAAACTTCAGTTTTTCAAATTTCGATCATAGTTGCCATTGAAAAAAGCTCTTGAATGAATATATTATTCTTTTCATCTAGTTTCTGCGCTTCTATGTTACAAAAGAGACGTCTTATATGTATATTGATCATATATTTTTGTGCAAGAAAATTTCACAAACAAATTGAAGAAAAAAAGTTTTATTGATGTTTATTTGCTTTTATAATACTCCCTCTAAAACAACTAAAATGCGAAACTAACTTGAGATTAATGAAAGAAATTTATCTTTTCTTTTTCATAACTATTATGTTATATGTTTTCTATTTATTGAAAAGAACTGTGATATATGAACATTTTACAATAGAATAGAAGAAAAGAGAAGAAGTCAATCATTGAGACAAAGAACATCTTTGGTTTGTTTAACAATACCATCGATCATATCTGTGTACTGTTTACGTTCAGTCGCTTGACTTATTGAATTATTTGCAGTCATAATACATCGTATAAGATTCGAAAAACAAATGACAGCATAAGAGTGACCGTATTTGTAGACCAAATATCGCCATGCTAGTTCAATGTACATATCTTGAATGTGTAACACTGTCATAGTATTCTCTAGATTGATAGTAGGAGTATTTGTGTAAAATGTATAGTCAAATGTAGAGAAAGCAAGAATCGAAAGCCCCAATTTGACAAATACGATATCGTAGTCGAGATGATCACTGGTAATTTTACCCGCAGATACTGATTCTGACCCATAAAGGTGCTCAGCAGCCATGTAGAATGACGGATTGTCAAATAATTCAACTTGATGTAATAGAAAACATGTGCCAATACCTCCGATATATTTGAGTTTTCCTTCAAGTAAAATAGAACGATCTTGTGAACTTAGCGAGAGGAAATCGGCATTCTTTCGAAACAATAGTTGAGCTCCAGTCGTTAACTTTGTAAAAATTTCATTGACCGATGTTACTTTATGACGTGCCTTAGAAGGTAGAGCATTTTGCTCGCGTGTATAACATACAGCCATCGAATATCCACTGTGTTCATCATAGCAATGAACTAAATTCGACAGAAGATTCCATTGATCGGTACTTAATGTAGATTGGTCTGATTGTAATAAATTCAAAGTTGACAACTAGAATCGACAATACAAAAATTTATTAGAAGCATCAATCTCTTAACGAGTTACAAAAACGAGACTAGAAAAGAATATTTCTTTGATTCAGACTTTTATTTTTCTAAATTTCAAAAAAAATGGTTTCTTTACATTCTTAGATTTCTGGTTCAATTCATTTATGATTGACAAAGGTACTCGTAGGATTTTCAAACTAAAGAAAGGATTTTACTGGTAGCTCTCATCTATAAATAAATGCGGAAACTTCGGATTTAAATCCGAGAGTTGTGTGTACTTCAAAAAGTGAATGGGACAGATGAGTCATCCTAGAATGTGTGGACACCCAAACTTATCCTGGCAAATCTTTTCTATAATACGCTTGATTTCTATTGGCTACTGCTCAATCAATAGGATTTGGAGACGAATACAGCTCAGATTTGAACTCTTCGCCTTGATTTACCCTAAGAAAGTCGGTTTTCCTATAACTTCATTTCTATTGGTTACTGCTCAACCAATGGGATTTCGAGGCAAGTGGAGTACAGATTCGAGTTTTCCGCTCTAGAAAACCTCGAGCTATCATCTCTTTGATCGAAAGACAGAGCTCTAATTGTGGATCAATTAGACTGTGGGCACAAACAGAACCAATTCCCATTTAGTTATCTTTGCAATAGGTGAGTTAGTCTTCTTATTTCTTTATGTTTTATATACCATTTTGTAGCTCGTGAAATTCTCTATCGAATGGTATACAATAGTCGGGGTTTCATTTGACTATAATAGGAAAAGTTTTTTACGAAAGTGGGGATAGGTCGATTCTCGCATAGGAAGGCATAGGGAAAAATGACTATTTTTCCAATAACTCAGCAACGGCTCGGTCAATCCTTCTCATCTTCGAACTCGACCGAGATATTGTTGAGACTAAGCTGTGTAGAAAATTTCATCGCAATCGGACTCTCCTTTCAAAAGTTATCGTGTAAACGGCCGGACGGCCGGACATACTGACCGATTCTAGAGTGTACTCACTTTTTGAGTACACAAAAGCGATCAATATTTTATGGAATTCTCTACTCTTTCTAAATCGTATTCAGTAGTACATAAAAACGAGCAACAATCGATTTTTTTACCACTTGTAAACTAACTCTCTTAATTCGGTTTCAGATCAACGATGAAGAAAAAGTTCTGAAGCATTATTGACAGGTGCTGATCATTTAGTCAATTTAATTTCAAAAGTTACTGATTGTCATATGATAAATATCATACACAGATACTGATAAAATATGTTCAATTTTTGGAGGAAGAAATAAACGAGACTAAATGTCTTACCTGTTGTACCTCATTTCTCGTAGCTACTTTAACTAAAGCACTAGATGCTGTAACCACTGACTCGACTATCTCCTTCTTCTTTCGATTTGTTTTTATCTTATTCGATAATGAAGATCGAAGCAATTCAGTTCGCATTCCATTTGCAAAACATTTCTTCAGTCGACAAAAAGAACAGATATGACGATTATGAATATTGATTTCACAATGACCATCAAAATCACATTTAAGATGTGCCTAAAAAGATAACAATAACAAGAAAAAAGACATTTATTTGGCCTTACCAGCTTATTCTTTGCATTTCGTTTGAAAAACATTTTGCATGGAGAACATGCTACAATACCTAGATACTTGTGAAGAGCAGTAACCCCACATATTTTACATTCAGATTGAATTGCTTTTGTCTTTTCTGTAACAGTCGTAGAAGGAGCATTAGCATCGGTAATTATTCTAACTGTCTCTTCCATTTTCAAACTTGAAATAACTCTTCTTTTTCTTATAGAATAAACTCAGATGAGTTAAGAATAGAAAAAAAAAAGAATATATCGTCTATCTTCAACGCGTAGCTAGCGAGACTATGTAAGACAATGAAAGAAAGACAAGTAATTATTTTTCTTTTTGCTAAGAAAAATGATGTGGAAAAAATCCTGACCTGTTGAATCGACGCATGTTACTCTTCCATTACTAGAACAATTTTCTATTCTGGAAAGAACGAGAATAGTTTGGCACTTTCTCAAGAGACTCGTCTCTCTAGACATGAATAGTTTCGCTTTTTTTTTTTTTCTTCAATTCATTTACATCTATTATCTTATGCAGAGAGATTTCATTGGTATTAATTTTAAATAAAGTTTTGATTGACATCACTTATTCTACAATTGATGTATAGAAGCTAATAAGAGTTTCATCTGCGTATAAAATATGTCAATATCTTTGTCAAACTAACACAGATAGTTAACAAATAAAGTCAAATAAATGTCTTTTATTCTCAGTATGTAAATTAGTTTGTAAACACACTTCAAATGTCACATTGATAATCATTCAGAACTACAGATTCATAATTGTTGCATCTGCTATTCATTGATATTTGAAAAATGCTTCAAAACTCAAACGAAATCTGAAATATTTTAATTGGAAGAGTCACAATCTTCGGTTTTTAATTTCCATTTCTCAAATATCAGTGCCAGCGAAACTCAATGAGTCAAACTGAAGTACTTGAAAATGTTAAGATAAAATTATTGACTTAAATATAATTTGACTAGTCGATTTAAGTATTTTTCATTGATGATTGATATTTATCAAAATAGATTCTTGTTTTCAGAAACAACTTTCTAGTTAATTATTTAACTAATTGAATGATACTATCGATGTATCGACGAAAATTTGTATTTGTTAAGTGGGAGAAAAATATGAGAAGAAGATTCATGCTTTTGTTACTAGAATATCAATCAATTATTGGTATTGAATTTAATCGATCTTGTTCTTTTCTGATTATTGTGACATGTAAAGAAAGGCCTTTGAAAGAAGATGGTTTTCACGTTCAAAATAAATATGTTGATAAAACTATATTTCTTTTTTGTACACAAATACAAAAATCAATCAAATTGACGAACATACATAATCAAAATTTATACAATACGAATAATCTTCTTTCACACTTGCAAATTGAAATTGTTCTCATTTATACTATTT